CTAATAGGTGAACCATCTATTTCGATTAGGGCCATGGCTTCTATGGCAAACCGTTCAATAACCGGAGGGTAAATATCCCCAGTAAAACAGTGCAGTCCGCAGAAGCGTCATATTTTTTTGGGGCGGAAATCACGGGGGGGATATGTGAGAATCCTGACACCTTGACATGTCGATTTTCAGTCGTGGAATCAAATTCACATGCTTTGTCTAACAAAACAAGAACCCCATTGAAACTAGTACCCTCTGGTTATGACTAACATAGCCATGGTATAGATGGCCTATTTTGAGATGATTTTCCCAGCTATAAACCTCCATTTATAAGGGTTTTCCATGGCTATGTTAAATAACCAGAGGGTAAATCATCATTTTCCCCTATGAAATAGCCATGACAAACACCCATATATTGCTTGGTTCACATCAACCTTTGGTGTAAACAGTGTAAACCATCAAATGATCTTCCGATCCCATAGTACAGAGTCATTGTCTTGGCTCCTTCACAGCTTGCCAATCTTCCTTCATCCAAGCCTCTGGAAAGCTGGGGCAAATTTGGCCGAAAGGTTCATAGGTCCATAGGTTCAATGCCCGGATGAATGTGCAAGGAACCATGATGATCCATTTTTCACATGTCATTTGTCACTCATCGTATCATCATATATCCTTATCTTTTGGCTTTATCACATTGCTCATCTTCGGAAGGGATTCTACCCTTCGCTTCGGTCGTTTCTAGTTGCTGGGAGTTGCTGACCTGAAGCGTGTCCATGTAGCTCTTTGCCCTTCAATAAGCCTTGGGTTGTTGCTATATGGGGATTTCTTAAAATGTGGGATTCCCAACATGGATGGTTTATAACAGAAAATCCTATTAAAACAGATGATTTGGAGGTACCCTCATTTTAGGAAACCTCCATATAAATATGCATATCCTCAATATTCCTTTGTATGAGATACAGTAGATATAGCTGCATATGTGCACTGAAATAGTACTGCATGAAGACCACCCAGTTGTAAGTGACTTTCTGACACTATCTAACTACAGATATATCCGTCGTAAATCCTACTTAACTTAGCCTAGTTACAAATTAAATGAACTTACTTTGCGAAATCCATCATTTTCCCCGATGAAATCAGCATTTTTGTTGGTTAAACATGGATAAACCTTCATTTTTCCTGGTGAAATCACCATTTCAGATGGCGCCTGAGTCTTGGCCACTTGTCCCGGGCACAAGACGCTCTCCAGCAAGCCTTGCCTTAGCCGTGCTCGGGGTCAAACGGCTGAGAAAAGAGATACCATCTGGTTATTTAACAGTTCGCCATGGTATAGATGGCCCATAGAAATAGATGGTTTACCTATTAATAGCATGGTGATTGTCCATGGCGAACTGTTAAGTAGCCAGAGGGTAATTTAACCAGATTCTGGCACCTCCCCACCATCTGAAATGGTGAATTCACCAGCAAAAATTATCGGTTTATCCATGTTTTTCCAACAGAACTTGTAATTTAATTAAGGAAAATACCTGGTTGGTGGTTTCAACTCCTCTGAAAAATATCAGTCAGTTGGGATTATTCCCAATATATGGGAAAATAATCCAAATGTTCCAAACCATCAACCAGATTGGGAAAAATGAGGGATTTAATCAGCAAGAACCGAGGCAAAAAAATGGCCATGAAATCATAGCAGCTTGATGAACCATCCACACTTTGGGGACCCTGTTTTGAGCTCAACATCGTATAGGGTTTGTTGGGAAGAGGGATGGAAACCGGAATTAGACATCAATTCATGAAAAAAAAGTCAACCCTGGATTAATAAACCCCTACAGTAGGCTGTTTAATTGGGATCAGTACCATTGAAGTATTGGATGAAATGACTATTGGAGGAGTACCCCCCTAATTAATAAACCATTGTTTATTAATCCGGGGTTGACATTATAGATGACAAGTATGATCAAGTATGAATCATCGCGAGTTGGGTGCACCTCAAATCAAGCAACAATAGTGAAATCGTTGGTGGTTTCCACCGATCCAAAAAAATCACCAGCCAGTCATCCTATGCACTTGAAACCATAGCCCCGTCCCTTCTCAATACTGTCCTTCCTTCAACGCCAAAGTCATCTCCTACATAGGTTTCTACTACATGGCTTTCACTGAACATTATGGGAGCACCAGAAACAATTTGATAGTTCATCATCATTTCCCCCATGAAAACTTGCAGTTTATGGGGCCATTCCCGGCTTCAAAAAAAAGTCGGTAAACATGTGGAATCTAGTGGGCTTCTGACCTCAGCCGGCTGTCTTTTTTCAATACATTTTTTGGGGGTTTCGTCTTTAGTCCCCAGCAAATGGTAAAATTTGGGTCAATGGGGGAATGGGTTATGAATCCAAAACTCACCCTAATAATAATCCACCACATGGTTAAAAAACATTGGCTAAATATTGCTTATTTGTCGTGGATTATGAACTTTTCTGGGGATATTCCGTGTCTTGGGGGGATTGTCTTAAGTCATTGGCTAATCATAGCTACCCTCCGGTAATATAGATTGTTTTCACCTTAACCTCCATTTTGTTCGGGGATTTCCCAGCTAGCCACGTTTGATGAAGTTTTATTCATGTTGGTGAAGCAAGAATAATTGACCACCTATGTTTTGATGGTTTATACTGTGCATTTATGGTAAATATATGGTAAATTGGGGCTGGCTTACTATTGCTTTACTCACATTTATAGATGAGTTTCCCATTTACATTGCCAATCTTAGATACCCTGCAACAAATGACAAATTCTTTGCTGGTGAACGTAGATATTCCCATTAATACCAAAAGACTAGTTAGGATTAGTTTGTATCCATGTAAGATTGACCTAGTTTACAGATGTTTTTTCCCATTGACTTTCCTTTTATAATGGATTTCCCCAGCTAGTCGCGCTTGGTTCCCATAGGGCCATAGGGCCATTTCTGGATGACACGTTTTTCACATTTCACCATCGCCCAGGGACACACTGTTGACGCTGAGTCTGGGAACAAGGTCGTCCCGGTTGACCACCTCAGGGGCATATCCTGCAAAAATCATAGGAAAAACCATAGGAAAATGGAAGTTTCATGGGATTTATAGCTGATTTATGATAGCTAAGTTGGTGCAAATAAGTCCAATTTCACTATGGTTTATGGCAATGATAACGAACTAGTTACTGGGGCGAATCTAAACCAACGAACATCACTGGAGGGCCTCACATTGTGCAATCAATGGGAGTTTCAGGATCCTAAAATGGAGGTACCGATTCCATAGAAATAAGGCCTATTTTTCAGGCCTATGTAAGTGAATATCACCACAAAATATGGCCAAACAATATGGTACAGTACCTCCATTTTAGGATCCTGGAATTCCCATTGATACAATCTCATTTTTTTGGGGTACCCTCTGGTAAACATACAAAAAACTATTGAACATGGCCATTGAAATAGTGAATTTTCCCATTGAACATGGTGATTTTCCATAGTTATGTTAGTTTACCAAAGGGTAAATGTTGGTAACTGTTGGTCCATACATAGAGCATTTAGGATTCTTTTTCCTTGTCAATTTTTTGGGGTTACTGCAGACTTCATCCAATGCTGGGGTTTCCCAGAGCACCCCACTATCCTGCAACCAAGCTCGCGAAACATCTGGTACTAATCAATTTCATAGCTTCACATCAAACATGTTCATCTGTGAATCATGATGTTCTATCAAGAGTAATTACAAATTCGAACAACCCTAGATTATATTTTTTTCCCAGCGCCATTTCTGGATTCTACTTCCAATTTTGGTGATTTTCTGCTTGGAATATCCTTGTTGGCTGCCAGGAAATCTGGCTGAAAACTTCCATCCGATAAAGCCCAAGCATCTGAGACCATACCTGGCCGGAGCCGATCGGATTGCTAGTTCGGGTTATGTTCATCACCCTATATCAATGGAAATTTCAGGATCCTAAAATGGAGGTACTGTACCATATTGTTTGGCCATATTGTGTGGTGATATTCACTTACATAGGCCTTATATTATAGGCCTGATATATGGTAGGTACCTCCATTTTAGGATCCTGGAATGGCCATTGACTATAGCTATGGTTGGTATAGCTATGATCCCCCAGGTATTCGTTTTATGGTCGCTGCCTATCGATTTTTGACCGCTAAGTCCTGAGGACAGAAAGGACAGCGGCTCCGAAACTGCCAAAAGATCGGAACTCTGCAGAATCCCAAAACGTTGTGAAAACCATCTTTGGGTTCATTTGGGAATGGGTCAAAACCATGTAGCCCTGGTGAACATCAAAATAGGTGGCAAATGGATGTTCATCCCCTAATAAACTGTATCTATAGGTATTGATCCATGGCCATTTCCCTTCCAAACTTAGCATCAGCTGGTAATTTTCTTTCGTTTTTGTCACCCTGAGAAATCGACATGGGAATCATAATCACAGAGAATCACATACTGTTGGTTAATGTTGGTTTCTCCATTCTATCACCAGTTACCAGCCTGTAAACTAACATAGATGCGAAAAAAAACATTATTTTTGGATAATTTTCCGAACGGGAAACCATGGCTTTTCGATATCTATGTCAGTTTTAGGGATTTTTAGGGTACTATATAACCATTGTAAATCGAAATCACAATCTATACACACTTTATCTTGATTTTTTCATATCTGCCATATCACCTATATGATTCCCATAATATCACCAGTTACAGTACTAACTATTGTAAAATCCCTACAGGATGGAGCCCCATAGTTAGTGAAGTTGGTTTATAACGATAATAATAATAATAAAAATAGTGTATGATACGTAAATAACTATATTTAGATGGGGTTATAAACCAACTTATACCCTCTGGTAAACTAACATAGCTATGGAAAATCACAATTTTTAATGGGTAAATCAACTATTTCTATGGCCATTTTCAATAGCTTTTTGTATGTTTACCAGAGGGTAACTGGGGGGGGCCATCCTGTATGGTATCACCATTTTAAAACCCAGTTGCAGTTCAACAACTGGGGCATGAGGTTTTCGTCCACGCAGGCAGGGGTTCCAAAGCCGTAGCAACCTAGCCGTGGTGATGGTGGCAAGGCACCCCGAAGAACGGGGTCCTCAAACATAGCAATGGGAAATCCCATAAGAAGATGGAAAACTGGTTGGTGGTTTCAACCCCTCTGAAAAAAATATATATATAGTCAGTTGGGGTTACTATTCCCAATATACGGAAAAATAAAACATGTTCCAAACCACCAAACAGAAAATCATAGGAACATATGGGGAAAACCTTGGAAAATCACCAAAATCATGGGAAAATATGGGAACACATACGATGGATATCTATGGATGGTTGCGAAATCCAAATCACCAGTTGGTAGATGGTTAAACATCCCCTTATATATAGTCCGGTTATAAATCCCATTACTAATCCCACTAGTTAACTATGAACTACTATTTCATATCTTAAATCCCATAGTTGCAATATTTACAGTGTTTCATATGTTAAATTCCATAGTTAGCAACTGGTGCAGGATGGCTTGTCCATCCACAGTAGCAATTTGGAAATCTCCGACAAAGATGTAAAGATCATATGAACATATCTGGGCAAATTATAATAATTCACTAACCTGAATAGTTCGGCCATTTGGGGATGATTCCCCACAATCTAACTATGATTTCCAGTGTTCGGGAGAACAGGGTTCGGTCGTGATCAAATTTACCCAGATATATAAATTGCTTTATAAACCCCGTGAATACTATAGTTATAAGTACCATAAACCATAGTGAAATTGGAGTTATTTGCACCAACTTAACTTTACCCAGTAAATATGGGAAAACCCAGAAAAATCTCCCCATCAACGGAACATCCCCCCAGAGGCGATTTTGTTGACATTTTTTCCCCAAAAAATCCCTGGCCATGACGAAGCGGAACCGAGAAACATGAAGGAGGTACCCTCTGGTAAACTAACATAACTATGGAAAATCACAATTTTTCATGGGAAAATCCACTATAAATGGTGATTTTCCATAGTTAGTTTACCAGAGGGTACCGATTCCATTTCTAAGGCCTATTTTTCAGGCCTATTTTTTAGGGAATATCCCCAGAAAATATGGCCAAAAATATGGTACAGTAATGTACTAACGTACCTCCATCTGTTCGATCCTGAAGATCTCCCATTGATATAGTATTCTTTCCATAATATCCCATAATATGGTTCTAGTAATAGTAACCCCCAAAAAGCTTGAACCATAAATGACCCTTCGGTAATCATGGCAATGGAGAGTCTCCTATAAATGCAGGTTTTAATGAAATATATAATGAAATATATGGGGGTTTCCTAAGTCATAGGGGTACCCCTAGTTATCATCCATTTGTAGATGGATTTTCCCTTTTAAATCATTCAGCGATAAAGGGGTACCCCCATTTTAGGAAACCCCCATATATGAAAAACATCAGTCAGTAAATATCTGGTTGGTGGTTTCAACCCCTCTGAAAAATATTAGTCAGTTGGGCTTATTATTCCCAATATATGGAAAAATAAAATAAATGTTCCAAACCACCAATCAGAAAATCATAGGAACATATGGGGAAAACCTTGGAAAATCACCAGAATCATGGGAAAATATGGGATTGTCCATTAAGAATGATGATTTTCCATCAGTAAATATGCTGGAATTGCCCATTGCCAGGTTAGTTCTTACCGCAGGGCAGCATTTTTTTGAGTTCAGCGAGAACCCGGAGATGTGGGGTGAAGGGCAAGCCCTAAGCCGGGCATTCCTAATCAAATCTATACTGCTTGGTGGTTTTAAGCATCAATGGTTCATGGGGATGTCTATATATATATGGTTAATATATGGCAATTATATGGTTACTGATGGATACTGATGGTTAATAATAAACTGGTTGGTGGTTTTAACCATCTTGGAAAATGATGGAGTTCGTCAATGGGAAGGATGACATCCCATATATGATGGAAAATAATCCAAATGTTTGAAACCAGCAACCAGCTATAAAACATATCATTGCCAATCCTAGATACCCTGCACAAAATCAAACTGCTAATGTGGTTAAAACAATGTCATAAACAATCCCCAAAATCACCATTTTTATAGGTGGTGTAAACCATTCCCAAATGGGTGGTTTATGACATTGTTTTAACATTACTGGTTGGTGGTTTCAACCCATCTGAAAAATATGAGTTCGTCAGTTGGGATGATGAAATTCCCAATATGATGGGAAAGTCATAAAATTCCATGGTTCCAAACCACCAACCAGCTTATAAACTTGAATAAACATGCATAGACATTTATTTTAAAACCATTAGCCATGAATAAACATCGTATTTATAGATGATTTTTCCCCAGCAAAATTAAACTGCTAGATCTTGTTCTCTGGTCATCATAGTATATTCCTCTTGAACTCGCGATTCTTCTGGGTTGTCACTAGCCATCCACTGGGTGGAACCCGCATGAAAGCCATCGACGATTCGCCAATGGGATGATTTTCCAAGTCAAGCCTGCAAAACGTCAACCGTTGAAGGGTAAACAAAATTCTTTCAACGTTGCCATCTTGAAGTCCAGAATCACATTTTTAGCATTGCTGTGAGTAAATGCAATAGTAACTGTTTATAGCTTTTCCATCGTTTTTCCACTGGTTGGTGGTATACCTACCCCTCTTAAAAATATTAATCATTTGGAATTCATTTGGGGTTACTACTCCCAATATATGAAAAAATAAGATTCATGTTCCAAACCACCAATCAAAAAATCATAGGAACAGATGGGGAAAACCTTGGAAAATCACCAAAATCATGGGAAAATATGGGATTGTCCACTAAGAATGGTCTAAACCACCAACGTGTCTCCATCACTTTCTCTGACATTTCCCATCCAGGCGACACAGGCTGGAGATGTGCGGCCGCAAGATGAGTGTCAGCAAGGCACCCACACCCGCACCCAAAGAATGGCCCAAAAGGGTGATGCGGTAGCCTGTCGAATCGACAACGCTTACATACCCGGGACAGCGGTAGAAGGTGGTGCCGAAAATAGTTAGCTAAGTTGGTGCAAATAACTCCAATAACTAGGGTTTATGATGAATATATCAACAGTTACTATGGTTTATTAACCAACTTATAACTGGGGGGGAACATCCTTGTAAAACCGGTGAAAAATCCAAGGTATTCCAAGGTGAAACCAGGAAACAAGCCATGGACAAGGTCAATTTATTGAGGAAACTTATGAAACTGGTGAACCTGCTAACCATATTTTTGAAACGGTGTGAAATCACGTGAAACCCATGAAAAACCACTGGTTTACCACCATGTTTGGCCGTCACCAATTTTCACGAACGAACGATCTTGGTGATGTGGGCATGTCAATGAGAGTAGCCACTGTACAGCCACCTGCTGGGTGAAGCGTCCATGTCCGGTATTGACACATACCGCTGTCCGATGCCGTGACCAGCACATCAATCGTCCGCGCTAAGAACGATGGCGTGTAGTTTCCATAGTCATGGGGGTACCCCAATAGATGAATGGTTTATAAGGGAAAATCCATCTATAAATGGATGATAACTAGGGGTACCCCTATGACTTGTCGGAAACCTCCATACGAAGGCAGCTTTCTCTTCAAAGAAAGAGAACTATCTGAATCATCCATTCGATTGAGTCTTCCAAAGTCCAGCTTGGATTTGTGATCCAGGACCCCAAAAACATAACATTCCCACGGGATTTGATTTGACCCAAAAGCATCCAAAAAATGATACCCTCTGGAAATCAAATGTGGTAGTGGAACATCTGCATTTTTTTTTGATGAATTTCCTACTAAAACCTCCATTAATAGGGAATATAGCTGGGTAAATGAATTAAATGCTTGCCTGTAGGGCCAAGTTAGATTGGCTCTAGGATTCCTCTATGATTGTGGGAAAATTGGTCTCATTTCTAAACTTCAATTTTAGACCATAGTAACGTTGCCATAATGTGCCCCATTGAATTACTAACTGGGGGTGCGGGACCCAACTAGTACGGGCTTAATAGCTCATGCACAACCGGGGTACCCTCTGGTAAACTAACATAGCTATTGAAAATTGCCATTTATAGTGGATTTTCCCATTAAAAATTGTGATTTTCCATTGTTATGTTAGTTCACCGGAGGGTATATCCCTCTGTAAAACTGGGTGAATGCATGCAGTTATTAACTGCGTACTAATTTTGGCTCTTGCACATCCAACCCGCACAACCAAATACTGTCCATGAGATGGTCATCCGATACTGCCTGTTTCTGGCATGTACACAATCAGATAAACATGTTGTCCTAAGTTTTTCCAAATAAAAATCCAAACATGAAATATCTGGCTGAATTGTAGGTGTTAATAATTCAATAACCTGAATATAAGTGAAATGAAAGCATTTGGGGGGGCGAATTCCCCCTACCAGTGAGGGCAAATATTTCAATGGATTCCGCATCTTCGCCGCACACAAAGGGACATTCATTGACAGAATGCTCCAAAAAGAAGATGTGTGTCGCCTTAAGCATCTAGAATAGCCAGCCTCAAGCATCCCTGGGAATGCAGGCCTCTTTTGCTTCGATATCTATCGGGGGAAAGCGGCCAACAAACTAAGCACAACCAGCAGAACTCACAAAGACATTGCATGATAAATCGCCACCACTAGGAGCACGAAAGCTTTGAAGACTCGATGGCAAGGTCACCCGCTCCAGGCTTTGGTTGAAGTACTTGCCAAAATGCAAGCTTTGAAGACCCGATGGGAAGGTCACCCGCTCCAGGCTTTCGTTGAACAAATGGCCAAAACTCAAGCTTTGAAGACTCGATGGCAAGGTCACCCGCTCCAGGCTTTGGTTGAAATGAAAGCCAAAACTCAAGTCTTGAAGACTTGATGGCAAGGTCACCCGCTCCAGGCTTTGGTTAAAGTTAGAGCCAAAACTCAAGCTTTGAAGACTTGATGGCAAAGTCACCCGCTCCAGGCTTTCGTTGAACAAATGGCCAAAACTCAAGCTTTGAAGACTCGATGGCAAGGCCACCCGCTCCAGGCTTTGGTTAAAATGAAAGCCAAAACTCAAGTCTTGAAGGCTTGATGGCAAGGTCACCCGCTCCAGGCTTTGGTTGAACCTAGTGCCAAAACTCAAGCTTTGAAGACTTGATGGCAAGGTCACCCGCTCCAGGCTTTGGTCGAACTTTTCGCCAAAACTCAAGCTTTGAAGAGTCGATGGCAAGGTCACCCGCTCCAGGCTTTGGTTGAAATCCGTGCCAAAAGTCAAGCTTTGAAGACTCGATGGCAAGGTCACCCGCTCAATTGGGAAGACCTCACAGCCAAAACTCAAGCTTTGAAGACTCGAGGGCAAGGTCACCCGCTTCAGGCTTTGGTTGAACCTATCGCCAAAACTCAAGCTTTGAAGACTCGATAGCAAGGTCACCCGCTCCAGGCTTTGGTTGAAATGAAAGCCAAAACTCAAGCTTTGAAGACTCGATGGCAAGGTCACCCGCTCCAGGCTTTGGTTGAAATGAAAGCCAAAACTCAAGTCTTGAAGACTCGATGGCAAGGTCACCCTTTGGTTGAAATGAAAGCCAAAACTCAAGCTTTGAAGACTCGATGGCAAGGTCACCCGCTCCAGGCTTTGGTTGAAATCCTCGCCAAAACTCAAGCTTTGAAGAGTCGGTGGCAAGGTCACCCGCTCCAGGCTTTGGTTGAAGTACTTGCCAAAATGCAAGCTTTGAAGACCCGATGGGAAGGTCACCCGCTCCAGGCTTTGGTTAAAGTCAGCGCCAAAATCGCCAAAACTCAAGCTTTGAAGACTCGATGGCAAGGTCACCCGCTCCAGGCTTTGATTAAAGTTAGCGCCAAAACTCAAGCTTTGAAGACCCGATGGCAAAGTCACCCGCTCCAGGCTTTGGTTGAAGTACTTGCCAAAATGCAAGCTTTGAAGACTCGATGGCAAGGTCACCCGCTCCAGGCTTTGGTTGAAGTACTTGCCAAAATGCAAGCTTTGAAGACTTGATGGCAAGGTCACCCACTCCAGGCTTTGGTTGAAAGTCTCGCCAAAAGTCATGCTTGCAAGGCTGCAGGGGAGATGGTGTAAATATTCTCCAAGAGTGTCTCCTTCAAGATGTGTAACACCTTCTAGTGCAAACTCCCTGTCACAATTTGGGAGCCCACAGGCATAACGCCATGCTGCATACACATCAGTTGGTATGTAAGTGCAGGAGAGCATTGCAGTTTTTCCAACAATCCCTTGGCCTCCCAAGGTTTCATTCAGCGTCAGCTTTCCATTCACATGATGCACGACGAGCTTTGCGCCTGGCTTGCATGAAAACTTCTCTGACACCAACCTGCGCAGGTCAGACCCAAGCATGGAGCGACGGACGCTCAGTGTCACTCCTTCTCCAGTCAAGCACTGCACCTGAAGCTCGATCTCATCAATTTCACCTGCTGCACCTTTGTCAGCAAATGATGGATCCACGTAGTCATATTGTGCACAGGGGGAACTTTCCATTGCCATACTTGATTACCCGAGGGTATACAACATTGTGGGACAAAAAAAGGGATATCATGGTTCTCCCGGGATACATCGGTTTCATCGCGATCGTGGAGGCTGTTGCTAAAGTCGTGCCCAAAATGATCAATGCGAACGCGTGGGGAGCACTGTTGCTTTGATAAAGTGCACAGGAATTGACATTGTCTGTGGATTTGGCATTGTTTCTTTTTTTTCTAAACCATCCGCTTAGGTTGTGTTTAACATCCAGGGCAACCTCTTCAACATTGAGTCCAAGAAGATGTGGATGTTGAAATTAGGTTGTACTGTTCATCTTCATGATCTGGTTAAGTTATGTATTTGATTGTCGCATCACATCGCAGAATGAATATTTTTGTTGAGCCAAACTTCCCGGGGCAGCAATTTTGTGGATATGCACCAAGATGGGGTGTCTACGAAAAAATGTCCAGCATCTACTGTTTTGTTTAATTAACGATTTTAATGGGACAACGGATTTTCTAAACCGACGGACTTGGGGACAAGAAGCCCTTGGCTAAATGGCGTGGGAATACGTCACTTGCGGCACTTGGCAATGGCCAAAAGTATCAGTTCTACCCTCCGGTGATCAAAGATGGCAACTGGAAATCCCCGAATTAAATGGAGATCATCTAATTACTATGTAGTTCGATTTACCATAAGTTTCTGTAGAATTGATTATTTAATTAGTTTGCTGCAAAAAAAACATCAAACTAAATGGTGAATTGTCCAGCCAGCCACGAGTCATCGTGCCATCACCGAAGCTATCTGGCAACCAAGTCCCATTATCAGTAGATCGGATAATCTAACCATCAAACGAAAACCAAATATCTACACACGATCATCCACCATATGCAGTGTATGTGGAGGTTTCCTGAAATAGGGGTACCCACAGTTATCATCCATTTGAATGGTATTTTCCATTATAAACCATCCATTTGTGGGTACCCCCATGACTATGGAAACCCCGATATATATATATAATACATATAATATGTATATATATATAATAATACATTCTTGGGATTTTCCGGCTGTTGACACTCATCGAACACTTTAGAGTTCACCTAAGATCATTGAAACAGTGGGATTATCCGACCGAAGTGATGGATTGATGGCTAGTGACTGAGGTGACTTTGGGGTGCGAAAATGCCTACGATTTGTTTCAGGTGCCACTGTTCTGAATCAGACATATTCTAATTCCTGAAATGGTGACTTTGAGCAATGGAAAAACATATAAATCAGGTTTATTATGGTTTATTTAATGTGTAAATACTTTTCATGCAGGGTTGTATCATACAAGTGTCCACATAGATATCCAATTTGGAACCATCTCTCGTTGAGAAGGGACACCAAATTGAACATATCTGGATTGATTCCAGCGAAAGTCGGAGGTTTCCAAAGTCATGGGGGTATCCCAAACCCATGACGGATCCGGCTGGTGCTGGTAGAAAAATGCTAACATGACTGGGGTTTCTGTTGATGGGATCCATGGAGCACCATGAATATAGCAGCACCAGCCGGATCCGTCATGGGAAATCATCCAAATCCAGACCATCCTACCCTCTGGTAATTTAACATAGCTATTGAAAATGGCCATAGAAATAGTGGATTTACCCATTAAAGATGGTGCTTTTCCATAGTTTTTCGTACGTTTACCAGGCCGGGTAACGTCGAAACATGTCGATTAAGTCACCGTGTGTTTTGTTCGGGATCTCGCCACGAAATCGATGAAGATTGGGCCATATGGACCGCACCTGATGTGTAGAGGCGAATCAATGCCTAGGCGCTCGAGCCAGGAGCTTGGAGGAGTCGCGTTCGAAAAATGGGTGCAGTTGACATGTTTGGATGTCATCTATTCTTGGATCAAGCCACATCCCATATTCTTGGCTATTATATAATGAACGGAGAATATGCAACTCGCTATTTTAGCAGCGGTGTTCTTGAGCCAAAGGTTGGCGTAGCAACTAGTGAGAACCCTATATCCCGTCACCCCTCCTGTACAGAGGCTGGGATTTTCCTAAGCTGATGTACACTCATTCCAAAGCCTTTGCAGCTTCGGCTCTACCATGAGAGTACTCGAACCCCATGCTTTGCATGTGTCTTTCCATCTCATTCGCAGGTAAACCTTTGGTGCACAAATCAGCTACGTTCTGCTTTGTCGGGATCTTCACCAGTTCGAATTCATGTAGTGCAAGCTTTTCTTGCACCCACAGAAAGCGAGTTTGAACATGCCGTGAGCGGCCTAAGCCCTGACGGTTACATGTTCCCAGCGCAGCGGATTAATCTGTGTGCACTTTAAGTTTTGGTTGTAGGCCCCATCCTCGCAAGATCTCCTGTAGCGACATTCCGATGGAAACTCCTCGAACGATCGAGTAGTATTCCGCTTCACCGGAACTCAAGCTGATCGTGCTCTGAAGAGTGCTCGAGGCCTTCACCGTGTGGCGGCCAAAGGTTGCCACAAGTCCACTTGTTGAGCGCCTTGTAAGAAGACACCCAGCGAAGTCGGAGTCCACGTACATGTGGATCGTGTCAGCAAACTTCTGGCGACCAAACTTCAAAAGTACACGTGGTTTCCCTTTCAGAAATCTCACCTAGCGTTTCAGATCCTGAAAGTCAGATTCTTTGGGCTCATGCATTCTTCTTGATAGGCATTTCACTGCCTCCGCGATGTCAGGTCTGTCCTGTGCCACATACGACGCTCTCATCACCAGAGACCGGAAGAAACTTACACGGTCCGGTGTGATGGTCGGGGTGGTCAACTTCAAGTTGGCCTCCGTGGCTGACATTTTCTCAGATGGTGTCTTGACTGGCTTACAGTTTTCCATTTCTAGATCTCGTACCATCTGGTCAACGTGGCGGGGATCCGCCTCATAGGATACAGAGCCTTCCTGCTCGTTGTAGGTCACGATTCGATTGAGCACTGCGAACTGCTGATGCCGTTCTCCAGGACCGATCGATCCATCGACCCGCAGATCATATTTGGACCTCAAGGTGTCCTCAAGGTATTTCTGTCCAGCATCATCAGCAAGCACCACGAAGTCATCTCCGTGTACAAGAACTCGAATACCACCGTAACCTTCATGGTAAAAGCAGGATGGCCAAGCTTGATTCTTGGCAAAACCAGCTCGGATGAGAAGTTCTGTATATGATCTTTGCCAGATCGCTGATGCATCGCGTGTTCCATACATGCTCTTAACGAGCTTGCCACAAAACCCTTCTTGTCGATCTCCTTCAGGTAACTGCACGAAGATATCACGCTCTGCCTCTCCATAGAAGTGAGCGCGTGATATGTCAAGAAGACGAACTTTCAGTGCATTGCCAGACTTGGATCGTCTCAAAGTCACCATAAGCGATAGAAGCAATTTCAGCGATTCCAAAGGCGGCATCGAACTGAAGGACGCATAGTCCGGAATGAAGTCAGCATTGCTGGCCCGTTTGATCTCTCTACAGACCAGACGTGACCTGTAGTTGGGGTGTGTTGCATCCCCTTTGTTTCTGTCAATCCATTTCATGGTGATGACCGGTTTTCCAGACTGTTGGGCTTCTGTGAGTGGAACTTTGATATAGATACCCTGTTTGTGTACCCATGCTAGTTCTTCTTGTCGAGCAGCTCTGACCTTGTCAACATCCAAGACAGCACCGGAGTGTGCGTCAAGCACTGGCTCCACGATGGTGTCATCGCTGTCGGGCAGCTGCTTCCAAAACTCCTCCTCTTCATTGATCACAGGTCCAGCATCGGGTACTGGGCCATGTGAAAGTGAGTGTAGTTCTCCATCACATTCCAGTTGGCGCCTAATGGCCTTGAGAATTGCGTGGACAAGCTTTGGTGGGTATTTCTGGGCAGCTCAGGCTCGTCCATCAACAAGATGTACATGGCGGTGCCAAACTTTGCCTTCTTTGTTTGAACAGCACCCTTGTAGGGTCTGTGCCAGGATTGGAGAGTTCGTGAGCCAGGTAGTTTCTTTCTTCACTAACCCTTCACCTTGGCCATCGGCGGCCTTCATTCCCCAACGGCACATTGGTCCAGTGACTTCATACACCCGTTCATCTGCCCTCAGTCTCTTCACAGCTCTCTCTTCCCACGAAGCGGCCCCTTTAGGGTGCTCATGGTAGAAGTACCTTCCAGCATTCATTTGATGCTCATACGCTGAAACTGCCGTGCGCAGATGTTTGCGACCATCTTTTAGTCTCTGCGCTCGAACTTCAGGTGAAACATTGCCCTTCGCATCCACAATGCTTTGCAGCTTCGAGAATGGCCCACAGGGAGGTGAGCCGCCGAGGAACTCTGGTTTCTCATAGTCAAGCAGTTGAAACAGATCACGAATGTGTTCATCTTTACTCAAGTCCCAGTGAGTTCCATCACCACGCTTTGTCTCCAAGTCAATCGAGAAGCCAGGTGCTAGCCCGACCACTTGGGCTTGTGCAGCCACACGCGGTGGAGAGAAGATCTCAGCAACCTTCCCTTTTGCGATCACATCTTTGAGCAAGGAACACAGATGTAGCATCTCCTGGTTTGTCTCAGGACTTGTTGGTGCAGCGGCAGCACCTTCCGGAACACCAGATGAAGCATCCGGTGCCGGTGGTCCGGCTGACCCTGAAGCCTGAGCTGAAGATTCATTGTAAAGATCTTCAACGTCGACTTGTGAACTCCTTTTCTCTCCTCGGGATTGTTCTTGTTTCTGCCTCTTTGGGCTTCCTTCTCTTTCTTGTTCTCTCTGTCTGAGTTCTCCACGAAAATCGGTGTCGACCAGTGGTTCACCAACAGCCTCACTTGCATCCATTTCCGCATCCAAAGGAACACGGTCTTGCAAGACTGGTTGTTCAACTTCCCCTCCTGGGACAACTGGTGGTGCAGCTTCACCACCTTCTGCCCCACCACCCTCAGGCGGTGCAGCCGCGCCTCTTGGGCGCCTGCCTTGTGCAACTCTCTCTCTCGCTCTTTTGATCCTTGCTTGACCTTCTGGAGTCTTGTCAAGTTCGATCTGGATTCTTTGTCTGCACTCAGCATTGTGAGCCCGGCTTGGCATCTCAAGTATTGCTGCTTCACATCCAGGACACAAAGGTGTGTGCCCATGCTTTTCCAAGTCATTCTTGGTGACATAGAGGTTCCTTGGGATCACTTCTTGCACTGCAGGCCTTTCACGAGGCGCTGCAACATCGGGAAGGGCGATCCTCAGTCCACCATGTTCTCGTTCTTGCAACCTCCAAAGAAGGCCACGTAGCGAGTCAAACTGATCATGTTTGAACTGATCGTCAGGTGGGCGTCGATGGATCGAGTTCCCCTTCATGATTCCACGTTCCGTCATGACAAAGACGTCTGAATTTCTGTTTCCAGTTCCAACGTACATCCCAATGGATACCCTTGGGGCAAGGTCATTTCTCTTGCCCCCACGATTGGCCCTCGGCCTATACAGGATGCTTTCACCGAACCTCACAAGCGGAATCCGCCATTTTCGTCCATAGGTCCGCTCAAAAGCGGTCTTTCCATCAGTACCTACTCGGTATCTCGTCAAGAGAAAGGCAGCATGCCGCGGGAGCCAAACCAAAAGTGGATGGCCCGGATCTACCTTCCTTTCCAGCTTGAACTCCAGGTCGCTGAGGAGAGCACGACATTGTCGTTTTATCTCTCGCACTCCCACTTCGATAAACCCATTGGCTTGATGGTCTTCTACTGGGGTTTCCACCAAGTGCACTTCGATGTGGGTCTTTATCTCCTTAACCTTCTGTTTAAGGGATACCAAGGAGGGTTCACCGTCAGACTTAAGGATTACCTTATTAAAACCAGCATCATCCAAAACTCCCCCAAGCCACGCGATTGCGAACGCATCCGCCCCTTTTCCCGGGAGAACGCTCGCCCAAAATCTCTTGGTCTTGTGGCACTTCACCACAATGCTCGGAAGGGTCGCCTCATCCGCAACCTGGTCCTGGTTCATATAGAAGTAGTCCAGGCTCAGTGTGGGCAACTGCGTTTCTGGCTCATCAAGTTCCTTAGGCACATGGCGATCAGCAGTCACACGTGCCCTTTTGCAGTGCAAGCACCAGCTCCGATGGACAACATGTCCAGTGCTTTCATGTTCGTCAACTTCAGCTTGGGATGGTTGATGTGGTTCTTTCTTCACAATGGCTTTCCTCTGTTCTTCACCGATTTCCAAATCAACTTCATCTTCAAAGGCATCTGCTCCGGCTGAAGCAGCTGGAACATCGCCTGAGGACCCTGCTCCGGCCGAAGCGGCTGAAACATCGCCTCCATCTTCCATGGCATCGGCTCCGGCTGAAACAGCTGGATCCTCACCAACAGCGTTGATTTGTGGTCTTACTCCTCTTGAGGATGCCCCTGAAAAGGTGACACCCAATAGTCCAACACATAGATGCCTCGGCGATTGTGCACAATGGGCATTGAATCGCCATAATCTCGGATCAGATCTTTCATGGCCTTCGAATAGGCCCGTCCCGCAGGAGTGTTTCTTGGGATCAATCTCCCCGAAGATGGTCCAAGGGCGATGTGGTAGTTCTTGGCGATCTCGGAACCTGAAAGAAGTGGCCGATGCACATCTGCAACTCGGCAATCGATTGGGATCTTGTTGCCAGATTCGTCGTATCCCACCAGCTTCACACTTCCCTGATCTTCGATGGGTTCCGCATTGGCTGCCTTGTAGCTTGCTCCATTGGACTCGCTCCTCGGGTAGTCCTTGGCGAAGTCAAGTGGTACTGCAGTGATGGCAGCACCGGTGTCGATGTTCAACTCTGCTCGTTCCCATTTTCGCCAGTCGTCAGAGGCCCCCAAGCTGTAGACTGCAGCAGGAGCCGATCCAGCTCCACCATCGGGGTCTCCTCTGCCTGGTCGGTCTCGAGGCTCATCGGGCTCTTCGATGTAGACTTCTTCCATTTCATCATCATCTTCATCTGCATCCACTTCAGTGTTTTCCTTCAGAACCAAGGCTGGTCGGTTCTTCCTCGCCATCTTGCGCGCCACATTGCGGTTGCGATTCTTCTTCACCCTGTACCCAACGCTTCGAACACGCTTGGTCATGGGTTTCTTCTTGGGATCCTTCCGCAGCAACTTGGCCTCGTCGTCCGGGAACTGCCTCAAAGTTTTCCGCTCTTCCATTGAAAACTCTATCACTGTGCTCTGACCAGCTTTGCCCACAACCACCGTCTCGATGCCCGCATCCAAGTTGTCTTCATCCTCGATTCTCACTATGCCTTCTGGATTTTCTGGGTTGTCAAAGCGTTCATGCCATTCTTTGTCAAGTCGAATCCTTTCAGCCGCACGTGCCTTGACTCCTCCTCGTCGGTGGACGATTGCACGTCTTCTCAAACGTTCATTTCTCCAGGCCACATTGTGTGCAACACCTTTGGCAATCTCGGCATGGTATCTCGAGTCGTGGAAAGAAGGATCGCTGATGTTCTGCTTTGTGATGTGCGGTGCCTTGACAGATCTGTTCCTCAAAGCCGCTAACATCGCATCTGACTGGCCATCTCCTGAGCCAGGATCTTCCTCTTGGGCTTTGCGGATTTGCGAACTCAGCGCAGCCTTCAGCATCTGGACAAGTCGAGAACCTGAAGTCGAGGCTGCCGATGATGCCTTGACAGGTGGTGGTGGCTTCACCTGAGAGCTTTGCCATCCCGGTGGTGGACATGGCGGAGTCTTGGGTGAAGCTACTTGGCTTTGCCATCCTGGTGGTGGTCCTGGTGGAGTCTTGGGCGAGGCTATCGGCTGTTGTGGAGGTGATGCAGGCCATGCTATAGGTGTCGGTGGTGTCTTTGGCAAAGGTGTAGAGCTACGAAGAAGTTCTTCTGGAGTCTGTGGCCCATGCCTCAACCTTCTCCTTGGTGGTGGTGTCATCGAAGTCATTCGAAAGCGTCGGAGTGCTGACTCCGGAGTGACTGGCCCTGATCTGCTTGCTTTGCCTCTCTTTGGTGTTGAGCTCTTTGGACTTCTGCCCCTCTTGGGTCTTCCCTGTGGCGTTCGAGGTGCCTTGGAAGACGCGGACTTGGATGTAGTGGTCTCGTGCTCGGTGACCTCCTCCAGTCGAAGCGACCGAAGGGGTCTTGAGCCACTCGATCCACTCGGTCCATCATAGTCGGGGTCGTCCCACTCTTCAGGCCATGACGCACGTGGGTGAGGCAAAGAAAACCACCTTCTGCGACTTGTCGAGGCTTCCGACTCCTCGGACTCGGGATCGACCTGGAAACTTTCGTCGTCATCCTCGTCATGTGGTGGCCCATCAACGCCATAGAGCGTTAAACCATTTGCTGCTTGTTGACCATCGTCGCCATCAGCTGCGTCCCAGTCTTCTGCTTCTGGTTCACCTTGTTCGACATTGTTCACAGATTTGCCTCCTTTGGGCTTCTGCTTGTGCTTTCCGGGGCTGCCTTTGCCCTTGCCCTTGTCCTTATTCTGATTGCTGTTGCCTTTGCCACCCGTCCCCTTATGTTTGGGGCCTCCAGGTGCCCAGCAATCTGCCCGCAGATGTCCTGGGCGTCCGCAGTTGTGACATGTTCTCTTCTCAGCTGTTGCATTTCCCTTTCCAGGTTTTCCTCCAGCTCCCTTCTTGCCCTTACCTTTTCCCTTCGCATCTTTTCCAAAGCTTCCGACATCCATAGGATCGTCCCCACGGCCATGTGCGTCGTAGGGCTGGCTATTCACCACCTTGATCTTGTTGCCGGTGGCATGTTCCACATAGGACTGGATCTCGGACAGCATGGACTCGAACGTCTTGAAGCGATCTCGATTGAGAACGAGATGACGCTCGAGCTCTGCCGGCACCAATCGTTCAATCACGTTGATCTTGATGTCTTCTGCCAACATCGTTCGGTTGCCAGATGCGTCTTTGCGACGTTCATAAAGTCTGATGCTGTCAAGAAGCTTCTCCAGGTTGGACGGCAAATCTTCCATCTTGGATCGAGCCGGTGACAAGATTGCATTGAGGAGAGCGCGTTTGCGACCACCAGTGGATGGGTCGTACCTCCGCGTGAGCTTTCTCCAGCTTTCGATGCCGCATTCCCCGGTGTTCAGCACGATGTCAAAGGGCTCACGCTCTGTCAGCATTAGCAGCGCATCCCAAAGCTCGCGTCTCAATTCACTGATGTTCGACACCTGGTCAATGGCATCTGCTTGACTCCCAAAAGCCTTGTCGATGTCATCTGCAGTGATTGCATGATCGCAATCTTCGGCCCAAACCAGAATCTCACGAAGGTCTTTGCGAACACTTGCAAGATAGGAGGACGTCTTGATTTTCCATGACAAGAATCTTTCGGCTGTCCCATCAAACTTGTCGGGCTTGCCAAGGCCCTTGTTGTCGACCAACCGGACTTGTTCTTTCGATCTAAGGGCGTCCACAAGCTCCTTTTGTGACTGCACCAACTGTGCCAGTGCACTGCCAGGTCCAGCTGAAGCAGCCGAACCCGCACCAAAAGAAGCGACCTGTGCTGTCAGTTCAGCTTCTCGGCCTCTTAGTCGATTGACCTCGGTCTGTAGTTCCTGGAGCGACTGGAGGACCTGTGCCGCTTGTTGTTGGTCCATTGCTAAGACCCTGGAGCGTATCGCTCCGCTACCATGAACGGAGAATATGCAACTCGCTATTTTAGCAGCGGTGTTCTTGAGCCAAAGGTTGGCGTAGCAACTAGTGAGAACCCTATATCCCGTCATATAATTATAAATATACATATATGTATATATATATATATATGTAATGTCAACCCTGGATTAATAAACCCCTACAGTAGGCTGTTTTCTTGGGATCGGTACCATTGAAGTATTGGATGAAATGACTATTGGGGGGGTGCCCCCCTAATTAATAAACCATGGTTTATTAATCCGGGGTTGACATTATATGAGGATCGCTGCCAATCAGTGCTGGCAAATCATACAACCAATGATGGCAAAAAGCTATTCTCCAGTCAAGAAACTGAGCATTTCAATGGGGGCATTCCCCATTGCCAAAGCAGATTACCGAAGGTTTTTTTTGTGGTTCACGTCAGGAATCAGTGGGTATAGCCATGTGTAGGATTATCAGATGGTCGTTATACACTTCCTACAAGGTGACTTTATTTAAACCCCAGTAACTCTAGTTACCCTCCTCTAATCATACGTGGCAGTTGAAAATCCATCAGTTATAGATGATTTTCCCATGACTCAACGTCCCTTTATACCCATGACGGATCCATGGTGCTGGTAGAAAAATGCTAACATAAAGGGGGTATATTGATGGGATCCATGGAGCACCAGATATAGCAGCACCATGGATCCGTCATGGGATAGGGGATTTTCAAACATTGAACCTTTGATTACCGGAGGGTACATCTCGGTGGTGTGTCAACATCGTTTATTCTTTATGATTTCCCTGTCGCCGTGATGGTAAAGAACAGAAATTCACCACTAAGGAAGTGACTGAAGTGCATGGCGCATGTGCGCTGGTGCATTTTTTTTGGATCAATGGCCATTTCAGGGACCGATTGATTGAAGGTACCTACCATATATAAGGCCTATATAAGGCCTTAATTTCAGGGAATCTCCCAGCACAATATGGCCAAAAAATATGGTACAGTACCTCCATTTTAGGATCCTGAAGTTCCCATTGATCGGAGTCTCATCTAAAAATGAAAAACCTGCAGAAAATTCAGCACAACTGCAACTGCTGTTTTTAGAAATCGCACATCATCAGGACGACAATCCCAGTTAGTAAGTGACTCAGCCTGGTTAGTACGTCGCTTACTAATTTACTAATAGTTATGTATTATATAATAGTTGGGTTTAAAGTAGGAATACTTTAGTATGATCACAACATTACTATATAACTTGTACTTGACTATGGATCCCAACAAGCCTAGTCAGTCCTTCAGGGATCACCTTTAAATAACATCGCGACCAAGGGTCAGGTCCCACTTGTTCGTGCATCCATCTTGCGGCCCTTGGCAGATTGTGAGATCTGAGTTACAGTGGCGTGTCATCAGTGGCAATTGGAAAAAACTTCCCGAAATATGTATGGAAAGATATGGAAATATCATGGGAATATCACTGATATAATCAGGATATATGGGAAATGGAGGTTTCGTTTGCTCCGCTCCAATCATCGATCGATTCGCTGGGACTTTCAGCAAGCCATGTTTGGTTACTGAAGGGTAACATGGGTCAATTGGGGATCATGCAAGGTGGTGCCCCCAAGATAGCTAAGTTGGTTTATAACTCTAATAACTATAGGACTTATGGTAGATATATCTATAGTTACTGGGATGATAAACCAACTTATAACTTGGGGGGCACCACCTTGTGGGATAGATATTTCATATATGGCATACTCAATGAGTAGGTTGAAACACCAAATACACACCCACCTTTGATTGTTAACCAGCAACCACTGGCGCGAACGCGCTAGCTGGTTGGCGATCATCATTGCAACCAAATATTCAAAGTTCCCATGTTGCCCTCCATCAAACTTAGCAATGGACAAATCTATTCACCGTTATTCAAGAAACCCGAAGCTTCCACAGCATCATGAATCGTCGATCCAATTCTGGTGTTTTTCGTGGCTCCAAGCTGAAATAACCCAAATAGGACGAACACAAACCACATGATCTTTGGAATGACACTTGGGACCCACAGTGACCACTCCTGCTTGGGAAAATAACAGCAATCGCCTTCACACAAACTGAGGATTATAGAATCTTCTAGATGATCTTCCCTTAAAAAATGGGCGGTGTTCCACTTCGCAAGCAGTGTTTTAAACTGGAGGCGACCCACCATTGAACAGTACAATGTGAGGCCCCCCAGTGATGTTTGTTGGTTTAGATTCGCCCCAGTAACTATAGTTATAAATTTCATAAACCATAGTTATTGGACTTATGTTCACCAACTTAGCTATCGAACGGGGGCCTCACATTGTAGATATCCCTGTCGGATGCATGCCGAAGGGCTCCACCATGCCGCGATGCCCGAAACCATCTCCAAACCTTTGCCAATGGCATGTTTTTCGCCATCGGAAGAGTTTCTTCGCCCAGAAACCATGGGGTTTTTTGTTAGAGAACCATGGGATATTCATGGATATATCCACTAGGATTTATGGTAGATATATCTATGATATATCTATGAAATATCTATGAAATATTGGTGATATATGTATGAATAATCTATGAATAATCTATGACTAATCATGACTAATCTATGATATATCTATGATATATCTATGATATATCTATGATATATCTATGACATATCTATGAAATATTGGTGATATATGTATGAATAATCTATGAATAATCTATGACTAATCATGACTAATCTATGATATATTTATGATATATTTATGATATATCTATGATATATCTACGATATATCTATGATATATCTATGATATATCTATGATATATCTATGATATATCTATGATATATTTATGATATATCTATGATATATCTATGAAATAACTATGAAATATTGGTGATATATCTATGATATATCTATGAAATAACTATGAAATATTGGTGATATATCTATGATTAATCTATGATTAATCTATGATATATCTATGATATATCTATGATATATCTATTAAATATCTATGATATATCTATGATATATCTATGATATATTTATGATATATCTATGATATATCTATGATATATCTATGATATATCTATGATATATTTAAGATATATCTATGGTATATCTATGAAATATCTATGAAATATTGGTGATATATATATATATGATTAATCTATGATATATCTATGAAATATCTATGATATATCTATGATATATCAATGATTATAGTTAATGGAGTTTTTTTTACACCAACTTAAGCAGAGTTGATGGGGCTTGATGGGGGTGATCAAACAATATCAAATGCCATTACCCGAAAGTACATCTGAGATAGAAATTGCCAACATGTGCATATAGAGAACATGTCAATGATAACGCCGATCTGATTGAACATTGGCCTATGAACAAAAGGTCGGTTACAGGGGATTGCACTGATCAAAAATGCAGACAGAACATATAAATGACCGCATATTGCCACAAAAAAGGCCAGGAAATAGACCAGAAATTGTAGCCAGCTCGACTGCATCAAAGCCTGCACCTTACTCAAGCACTAGATATGGCAAGACTGGCAGACCTTTGCCCAGCTTCTGGTCCCTGTGATCACGGCTGCATATGATACACATCTTAGCCACACAAATAGAAGTTGGTAAACTCCCAGTGAAACAAATAGTGATGAATATCCATGTTCTATCTTTTGAGGTTACTTATGAACATCATCAACAAATATATATGTATATAGTAACATATGGTTCTATTGATGTACTATAATTAGTACTATACATTCATCACATATATTGTGCTATATACATTGCCAATCTTAGATACCCTGCAACAAAATAAATTCTTTGCTGGTTAGTAGATATTCCCATTAATACCAAAAGACTAAAGGATTAAAGTATCCATGTAAGATTGACCTTTATATATATATATAGATTACCCATTATACATTATTTTCCATCATGCTTATACTAAAATGGTCTATATATGGCACATATTATACACCCTTGGTATCTTGGCTTCTGAGGATTCTGGATCCTTTGGCTTGGCTGACTCAAATCCAAGCAGCTTGAGGTAGGTTGGTTTCTACCCCACGACTGGTTGCTTCAATGAAATGCATGGCAAGTTGCGTGTAACCTACAAGAAGTCTTTATTCCCATGTGTGTTCAACAATGAACGGGTTGGTGGTTTTTCGCCTACCCCTCTGAAACATCATGGAGTTAGTCAGTTGGGATGATGACATTCCCAATATATGGGAAAATAAAAAATGTTGCAAACCACCAACCAGATTAAAGAATTGAACTACGCACCCCGCTTTCTTGGTGACATCTCAATTCTTTAAGATTCATTTACTCAGAATGTTGATGTTAGTTGGGGTTGAAGCTCCAGTTATAGATTTTGTTTTATCATTTACCGTCCGGTAATCAAATGTGGCAATGGAAAATCAACCATTTACAGATGATTTTCCCACTAAAACCTCCATTTCGATAGGGGATTTCCAATTGACATGTTTGAGGACACCGGAAGGTATGTCAAACGATCCGATCCGACCTCACCCGAATGTGATCAAAGCCACGAAGACTGTCTGTTGTGTTTGTCTCAGAGTCTGTTGCCCCATCTTTATCCCCATCATGTGGTGGTTTCCTAAAATGGATTTTCATAGGGTACCCCCAAATCATCCAATTTTATACTTGTTGGTGGTATACCTACCCCTCTGATCATATGACTTCGTCAGTTGGGATTCTTATTCCCAATATACGGGATTTTTTTTCACATGTTCCAAACCACCAACCAGAAAATCAGATTTTTCATTGTAAACCATCCAGCGGTAAAGGGGTACCCCCATGACTATGGAAATCTCCATATCTCAATATGGCACAGTTCCTATTCTTGTCGCTTCAATTTCCATGAAGAGTGAGGTAAATGCCTGTTACAAATGAACATATTCCATCGACATGTCCCACAAAATTGTGAGTTACCCTCTGGTAAATAAACATCGACCCTGAAAATAACTAATTTTTAATGGAAACTAATCTTCCAAGTCCTATTTGCCAGGGTCTATGTTAATTTACCAGAGGGTAACTTCCCATGAATTAATCCCCGTTAACCGACAAAAAAAACCACCCCCCCTCGCCTTAATAATAAACACCTGGAGTACTGCTAGGGGGTTTTTGGCATTAGGGGGTATACTTTTCGGCAGTATTTAGTTTAGTCTTTTTGTTGATATTAGGGGTACGTTTAGTTATAGGGGGAAGGGAGTGTATGAAATATTTACTCTTTAATTGCTAAGTGCAAGTATTATTTTTCAAAAACCTTAAATCTTAAATACTACATTTACCATGAGATACCATGAACCATAATTCCCAAGAATACCATTACCATGAGCCATTTTACCTATGAGATACCATTAGGCTCATAAGCAATATTCTTGCTACCCCTCTGAAAAATATGAAAGTCAATGGGAAGGATTATCCCATATATCATGAAAAATAATGCAAATGTTTGAAACCAGCAACCAGTAGTAAACCTAATGATCATTCATTAACCATACCCAAATCTTTTCATTAAACCTTGAACCATTGGGGCTTATTATAAACAGTGAAACATTAACCATCTGTAAACCTTGCTTTATGTTAAGACATTGATTTCGAAGATATTCGCCGTGAACCACATATATATATATATATTCACCATATTGTAGCCGCTAATGGCAATCCAATCCCAACTTTTCCCTAACTTATCCATCTATCAACTATACATCAACCATCAACCGTCTATGAACCATATCTTAACCATCTATTCACCATCTATCAACAATCTATCGACCATCTATCAACCATCTATCTGTTAACCAACTTACCATCTGGTTATTTAACAGTTCGTTATGGAAAAAATCACCATTTTTAAGTTCGGTAAACCATCTATTTCGATTAGGGCCATGGCTTCCATGGCAAACCGTGAAATCACCAGAGGGTATAGAACCATAGATTAACCATATATATACCATGGCCATATTAATCATAGATTAACCATATACCATGGCCATATTAACCATAGATTAACCATATATCCCATTAAATCCCATTAAATCCCATTAAATCACCATTAAATCCCATTAAATCACCATTAAATCACCATTTTCCTATCGTTTTCCTATCGTCACGTTGTGGAACCACACGTGGATACCACTTCCGTGAGTTCGCCGTGGCACGCTTCTTCCGTGGCGTTGAAGTCGGTCACCAAATCCGAGAGCTTCCGGGTGCCGGGCATGACCTGGGCACAGAAAGAACCAGGGATATATGGTTAATGATATGGTTAATGATATGGTTAATGATATGGTTAATGATATGGTTAATGATATGGTTAATGATATGGTTAATGATATGGTTAATGATATGGTTAATGATATGGTTATATATATATGTGGTTAATGATATTATATGTATATAAGTTCAGATGGCAATTCTGGCTGCTTGGTGGTGCGTTTTAAGCATCAATGGTTCATGGGGATGTCTATGATGTCTATGTATATATATATATGGTTAATATATGGCAATTATATGGTTAATGATGGTTAATAATCAACTGGTTGGTGGTGCAATAATCATCTGGTTGGTGGTTGACCTACCCCTCTGAAAAATATGAGTTCGTCAATGGGAAGGATTATCCCATATATTATGGAAAATAAAAAATATTTGAGGCCACCAACCAGATGAGATTTTGTGTGGATTTAAGGTGGGTATATTGGGATATAACATGATATAACCTACCTGGGGACACTTCACAATGATCAACATCTACCCAGCATGGCCTTTTTTTGGGGATGGCTCAAATTATCCAAGTCATGGATGACCATGACTTAGTATTGAAACCCATTATTATTGTTTCGGGCATCCTTAATTTTAAGAAAGCCCTACTGGTTGGTGGTACACCTACCCCTCTGAAACATATGAACGTCAGTTGGGGTTATGACATTCCGAACTGAATGGACAGTCATAAAACATGTTCCAAACCACCAACCAGCCTATTTGTATATGGCTCTTAGTCCCCAAAACCGATGTGGATTGCAGAGTTTCCAGTGGATGAGAATTAATCCCATGAAAACCAGTCAAAAAAAAAGCCTGAGAACCAACCATCAACCAACGCAAGTTTCGGGCTTTGATGAAACAGGCTGACGCCTGTTAAGTGCGATCCATCTCAAAGATATGAGGGTAGCCTGTCAAACTAGTTGCTAATGGGGGTATATGAGGGTATCTCATTAGGATCTGGTTTGATGTTGTTGTGCAGGATTTTGTTCAAGTCAATCAAGAATTGCGGTCATCTTGCCCAAGCAGACCACACCATTTTTGAAAGTGTTCATTTTTTAACCTACTGCCGACAGCTCTGTCTTTTCAACAACCCCTCCAATCTTTCGGCTTGGCCGATGATAACGTGAATAGACAGAACCCTAGACCCTTGCAACAAAGTGTTCAGGTGAATGAGATGAAGTGACAAACAAATCAAAGGGACACCAAGGATCTATGGATAGACTCAGTAAGGCCTATGTAAGGGGATATACCCCACAAAATTGTGCAAAATATGGCCTTATATGGTACAGTACCTCCATTTTAGGATCCTGAAATTCCCAGTGATCTATGGATAGACTCAGCATTTTGGGGAAGTGTTGGATATCTTTGAGGATCGCGTGCTTGCAAGCTCACCATGAACATGAGGTTTTATCCTCTGTCATATCATGTCACACGCATATCACCCCATATCATAGAAATCCTATCTGGTTGGTGGTATACCTACCCCTCTGAAAAATGATGGAGTTCGTCAATGGGAAGGATGACATCCCATATATTATGGAAAAATAATCCAAATGCTCCAAGCCACCAATCAGTACAAATCCTATTAAAAAGTTCACAAACGCCTTGCCTCTGACTCTGAAGACTCTGCCGTAGTTTGCAGCCAGATTTTGTCGCTTTGATGTGGGTCAGCGACGATGCTGGCTGATGTGATCACCCAGGAATGATTACAAAAGCTATCACGGTTTTAAGCAACAAACCGATTTAAGCCGCTTCTGGGGATCAAACCGCTATGAACCAAACATCTTGATTTCAGTAAAAAAATGTGGTACCCTTCGGTAATCAAACATGGCAATGGAAAATCTCTATAGACATACAACTTTCCAATTAACACCTCCATTTATAGTCGACTATAATGGATTTGAAATTGCCACGTTTTATTACCGGAGGGCGCCCGAAAACCTTATGGTTGAGAACATCATATCCTTTGGTGCTTTCTTGATGCCTGGATACACATTTAAATCCATAAGCATTAGCTATATCTATACAGTGGTTTAAATGTGATAAGTGGATATAAGTGGTAAATCATCTACAGCAATTAATCCTCAAAACACTTTCAACATAAAGTGTGTGGCTACAATCCATCCGTATGTTGGATGATTAATCCTCAAAACATTACTTGACAATATGGGATGACATGAAAAATATGGGATTCCAATCCATTATTTGCAGTAAGCCCTGATGTTTGTCTGTATGCAGCGGTTACAATCTATCCCATATCGATTCATATCGTAAATTCCTGTGCTTCACAAACGCCTGCCCATTTTTGTTTTTCGAAGCGGCCAAATACGCCACTTTCATTTCTCGCGAACAGACCTTGGGGCGAGGCTTGGATAACAATTTCCAACTAGTACAAGGTTAGGCCCCGTTCGGTAGAAATACCATAGGAAAATGGTGATTTAACAACATTTAATCAACGAAAAATGTGATTTAACCAGATTTATAGCTGATTGATGATAGCTAAGTTGACGCACATAACTTGGTCAATGTTTGTTCTTTTTTTGGGATATAACGAACTAGCATTCATGGGGTCTAACCATAAACATCACTGGGGGGCCTCACCTTATAAGTGGTTCATCATGGTAAAGCCAACTGATGGGATATGCCCAGTCATAGCTTTCCAGACCACTAGTAGCAAAAATGATACATCCATAGAAGTGGAAACACGTCCAGTAAGCTCTAGTAATCTAACATAGCTATTGAACATCACCATGTTTAACATTGCCAATCTTAGATACCCTGCAACAAATTAAATTCTTTGCTGGTTAGTAGATATTCCCATTAATGCCAAAAGACTAAAGGATTAAAGTATCCATGTAAGATTGACCTAGTTAATAGGCAAATCATCAATCAATGGGCAATGTTCAATAGCTATGTAACAAATTACCAGAGGGTATCGAACATGAAGTTCTCCACGATTGAAAGTGGTATCCGTTTTTTTGGATCTAGGCCCAAATTTTTGTTGGATTCCATCCCCACAGATATCTTGAAGAAAAAGTCCTGAACTAATGGATACCAATGGTTAAGTATCCCCAGTAATGGTCAGGTCAACTAATGGCTAAACATTCCCAGAAAGAAAGGGCTAAATATCCCCAGTAAGATGGATTAGATATCCCCATGAGTTCATCAACCTTTCACCCCCCCCCTATCCCCAGGTGATCTTTCAATCGGAAGGCTAAGAAGAAGCTTGGAATGGCAGGGACGCTGGACATTTCGGCCAATACCAATTCCTTGGCTCCGCGAAGCCGCGCGTCGAAGAACGTCACGATTTTTCTGGAACTTAACAGAAATCAATGGGAGATCTCCAGAATCCAACAGATGGAGGTACGTTAGTACCATATTTTTGGCCATATTTTGTGGGGATATTCCCTTACATAGGCCTTACATAGGCCTTACACATGGCAGGTACCTCCATTTTAGGATCCTGAAATTCCCATTGAAATTTTCATTTCACCAGCCAAAATTGGGGTTTTGAACAGTTCAACCAATAGAAATGGTGATTTCATCAACAAAGTGTGGATTGTGCAACAAGTTGGTCTGGAACTTGGCTGGCTATGACTCTGGTTTATGGATGTTTATGGTAGATATACCCTCTGGTAATTTAACATAGCTATTGAAAATGGCCATTTATAGCTGATTTACCCATTAAAAATGGTGATTTTCCATAGTTATGTTAGTTTACCAGAGGGTATCCATAGGTTGGGTTTACAAACCAACTTGTGATTTGGGGGTCCTACATTGTTGTTGACTTGGCTGGGAAGATACAAAAAACAATGATGCAAATTGGTCAATGGGGGAATCCCCTGAGTTACAGCTAGTTGATGAAACTATATATCATGATTAAGCCCAATTAAGCAATGAATTTGCTGTGATGAGGCAAGCTCAAGGCCATTTATGGCATCCCCAATTCTGGTTTATGACATTGGGTATACTGCGTAGTGCCTGGGATGATCTAAAAGAAAACCCAATTTGGACGGTTATTGGGAAGGTTTATTATATAGGGTTTACCACATTGTACCACATACCCTCTGGTTATGTTAAAATAGTTATTGAACATGGCCATAGAAATAGTGGATTTGCCCATTGAAAATGGTGATTTTCTAGTTCGTTATGTAAACGTTTACCAGAGGGTAGTCGGACAAACTCAAATCTGAGGGACTTTGCAAAGCTGTCGATTTACCAGTGACCAAGAGCAACTGCTGCTTCCATTTCCACTGGACTCATGTGCGCTTGGTTAGCATCCCTCGGAGGAAATCATGACAACACACAATCCTGACAAAAACTATTTTTGGGATGAGTCCCCCATAATCTGGCAAATCCAATTGATCATGAACTTTCGCTTTCTGGTAAGTCATCTCATGCATGGTTTATGGCTTGGGATCTACCATATTACCAGCTGGCATTTTTTGTAGCAATCCCAAACATATTGGCCAAATTGGCTTCATCATTGAAGGTAGGGTGGAGGAGCCTCTGCCGCAGCCTCTTAATTCTAAATACCATAGCCCTCAAATGGACCCCCAAAATAAATAAGTTCTTAGATCCAACGCTAGGGTTTTTACGGGTATATTTCAGGGGGATGGGATGATTAGAAACCATCACCCACGAAACAAATTGGCAAAAATTGTCACCGAAACATTTGGTTGGAGCCAATAATTTTGGTGCAGTTCCGCTGGTAACAGCGTCAGCAGCAACCAAAACCTACCAGCCTGGACTTGCGCTGCTAGGAAAGGCTTATAGTACACTCGTTGCAGTCATGGAAAAGAGTATGAGACACTTTAATATGGGGGCTTCTTAAAATCCTGCATTCCCCAAGTCACCATGGGTTTCAAAACTAAAATTGTCGGATGACTTGGATGACGACTTGGGTATCCCGCATTTTAGGAAACCTATTTGGCAACGCGTTAGGTGGAAGATCAACATGCATGAGCAATCATTTTAAGACTAGGTCTTTAAAAATATGAAGCATCACAACATGCTGATCTTGTGCAATTCTATGTTATCAGCATTGCAGAAATTGACGTCTCTGCAACGGCTCCCAAGGTCGTCGTGGGAGATGAAGGGCTCCTCTTGACAGGTTTGCGACAGCACAGGCCGTAGAAAACAATGCTGAGTGAAGTCAGCTTGGATCATCTCCATGATCCCATACTGTAAAATTATCCATTTTTATCACTCTAAGTATAATCATTACTAACCACTGTGGAGGGTAGATTGATATCCCACTAATCATGGTTTAGATGTTCTTTCCATGAAAAAGTAGATGGTTTTTGGGAACATCTAACTGATTTTGATATCTACTGGGAACATCTAAACATCTATATCAACCATCAAACTAATCACTAACTGATCCCCACAAAATATGGCCAGAAATATGGACAGTACCTCCAATTTAGGATCCTGGAGATCTCCCAATTTAAGTAACATAACTATGGAAAATCACCATGCTATCAATGGGCAAATCCACTATTTCGACTGGGCCATTTTCAATAGCTATTTTGACATAACCAGAGGGTAGATGTGGCAGTGTGTCAAAACCTTGTACCCCTGTAGTTCACATCAAAATAGCTGGTAAATGGATGTTCATCCCATTAAAAATGGTGTTAATAGGTATTGATCCATACCCATGTTCCCAAAAAGTTGATCAATTGCTTTGTTCATCCCATGTCTTTTCTGGGCGTTTCCTGGCTTTCGCCAAGTTTCAGCCCCTGGCATGGCCTGTCGAAGTAATCGTTGCGCATCTGTGGGGGTGCTCTCCTGCCAAGGTGCGTTGGCATGTTGCTATGGACAATCCACCATTTATAGAATACTTAGATGGGCCATGGGATTAGCGATTCCTGGTTAGTAACTGGGGATATAATATATAAGCCCCTATATCCCAATGAAATAATCCACTTACTAACTAGTTAACTAACTCCACTTATGTGGAAAAAATAAACCAGGAATTCCATTTTTATATAGCAATGGAATGGTGGAATTCCATTTTTTCCATTCCAGCAAGATTTTTTCCAGCTATAAAACTTTCATTCATGGGGAATTTCCCATTAATGAGTGATTTTCTCATTTAATTTATAACCAATTTAACCAGTACGTAAAGATGTGGATTCGAGCAATAAAGGTATGGATTTCACATGATTTCACAACAACACATCGGGATCAGCAACAAACTGCCAGGGTAATTAGCAAGTTTTGACCCGCACCCACATGGCAAAACATTGTTATTTTAAGAAGCTGAGGCATATTGATGCCCAAAAATGGGTGGGGGCTGGGGTACTAAACAAATAGTGTAATGGAAAATAATCAATGTCTATGGAAAGAACAGTATTGTGAAACTTGGAATTGAATCATCATTCACAAAGTTCATCAAGAAAATGTTGCCAGCCCTTAGCCTACGAGAGAATAGGATGCCAAAACAACAGCAAGAAACCTGCCGCTATATATATATATATAGATATGATATCTGGCACACTCTTTTGTAGAAACATTGAATCTGATTTAGTGCTTGGAGGATCACCCCAATTAGGAAGTGGCTGGGAACTTTGGTTACAAACCATTTATATAAATGGAATAATAATGGATAATACTAACCATGATATGTACCGGATAAAAATGAGATAATAATGGATAATAATGGGTGATAATACACGAATATATGAATCGGGGACTTACTAACCTCACTAAGTGAGTGCCATCACCTTCCTCGGCACATGTCAAATGACTCAGGCCTGTCATTCCGTTCCCGGAAATAAAAATGACTAAATGTCACGCCATCAACAACTAAGGGAAGTGCCTGTCATATCCCCAATGCCTGTCTGGGCCATATTTGGCTGTTGAAATCCCAACTTTGGTTGTTGAACATGATTCAACTCCCATGTTTCTTGGTAATTTCATTTGTCCCTCTTTACACATGTCGATTAAATGCCAAATCCATTTTTCGGTCGCAGATGTTCAGAGCTGTTGCTGCTAAAAATCCGCTTGGCTTAATCCACATTTGTTACTTAAATCCATTTCTGGTTGGTGGTTTAGCCACCCCTCTGAAAAATATGCGAACGTCAGTTGGGATGATGACATTCCCAACTGAATGGAAAGTCATAAAATTCCATTTCATCTCCAGTCATCTTGATTTGAGTCACTTTATCCCCCCTTAAGTCGTATAATCTCAAATCATCTCATATCGTCTCAAGTTAACTCTGCTCAGGTTGTCTCACCTCATCTCACTTCCCCTCACATCAAGTCATCTTGTCCGATCGTCTCATCTCTGCCCAGCGGCATTCAGGCGCCCTTGCATGGATTGGCTGTCCAAGCTCTCTTTCGCCGCGTGCAAATGGGCAGTAAGGCCCCTTTCTGCAAAAGCCAAAAGAGTAGAAAGAGCACAGGATGTGCTGGGTGTTTAAGAACGCGACTCCATTAATTATTGGATGTTGAGAATTCCTCAAAAGACACGAGTTGTGTCTTGCAGCCGCCGTTTAGTTACACCCCCATAAATTCAACATGGAACCCAAGAATCATGGAACTTGTGGTGTTTGGATGGTGATTTTCCCATTCATCATGGCGTGGGGTTCCAAGGAAGCTTAGGGGATCGTAAGTGGTTAATATCCCTGATTAGTAATAATTGAATTGGGGTTTAAACAACCACAACCACAAAACCCGAGAAACAGATTAACAGGGGTTTGAAAGGGCAGCGCACTTTTCATGTGCGTCTTGAGCCAAACATTGTTGGCATGTCCATGAGGTTATGACCGGAAAGGAAGGATGCTATACATGCATGAAAGTACATTGGGTTTACCTGTGAACTTTCAAGTCCCCCCTCTTCCTGAACTGTACACGGTCATAACTGGAAAGCGTCCTACTGGAGAGTGGCCAAGTCTACGGACGAATGCGATCCATCTGCCTCATAGCTCAGACGGATTCCAGGCGAGAGATGAGAGAATCAGTAGGAGATCCCATCATGCCATGGCGATTGCATGCACTACTGTGCGGAGCACTGAATTACCGATGCTTGAAGTCACTGAAGTCCAATCGGATGCATATGAGAGGCGCCTTAGGCAGCCAAACTCGCAGGCAATTGAGCGGCGCTAGGAAGCAGCCAGACTCTAATCCGGTGGAACAAAAGACAGTGAAAGTCCAAAGACAGAAATCCGTAGAAGTGACAAAGCAACTCCAGGGAAGATCCTGTGCTTAGCAAATGAAAAGTCAGGCTGTACTTAGTCAGTTGACAAGGTAGTCCAATGGAAGTGATTACGCAAAATCCAATGAACAGGACACGAATGCAGATGGAACTTAATTACATCCACATGGCTGTGCGCTTAGCGACTTGCAACACACTGAAACTTAATTACAGCAGTTGGAGTAGAGATTGGATCCAAATGATTGCAGTAAATGAAGTTGGTGCACCAGATTGAAGTCACAAGCAAACCAGAAAGCTGTGACAAAAGACCGCAAGCAAACAAAATCTATATGACTGGAACAGACTTGATGCTAAGCAGGCCCAAAACATGTGGCCAGACCGACACTGGTAAAGCCTTGTTCATGACATCTGCCTTTTGATGGCTTGTACTGATGTACTCGATGAGGATGTCCTCCACCGAGAAGGCTTCGCAAGTGCTCGCTACGTTGATGCGGTGGAATTTGGCCAGATGTTTGAGTTTCGGGCTGTAGCCCTTGGCGATTATCGCCAGCACTGCTTGGTTATCCTCATAGACCTTAAGCACTAGAGTGGACGCAATTAATTTTTGACAAACCGACAAAAGAGAAATGGCATCCCCAAACAGCGCAGTGCTCAGAGCGACAAACTCAGCCTCCGTCGTCGATCTTGACACCGCCCTCTGAGTTTTTGATCCCCAAAGGATGACAGCGAATGAATTTGGCCCTTGAAGAGCAATGATAAAACCACCTGTCGACTTCATGTCGGGAGATGAACCGAAATCACTATCAACAAAAAGCGACAACCACAGCTCAGCTGGAGGGTCATTGATACGCATGACATGGGCGTGATCAATGGTGGCAGCAATGTAACCAACAAGACGTGCAGCTCTCTTGTCATCGTTGGCATTCCATTTTGTAATGTGTCGGGCCAATGTGTTAATGGCGACAAGAATGTCTGGGCGACTTATTCTTCCTAACCACATCAGTTTCATGACCAAACGAGCGGATGAAGCTGAAAGCTGTCCTACACATCCATCATCAGATTCAACAAGGGTTCCACTATCGCAGTGAGGAGTGCGAAAGTGTTTGGCTTTCTTGCCTGAGAGCTGTTCATAAAGCTCAACACACTGCTTGGCAAAATCTGCCGAATGCAATGCAAGACCCCCCTGATCTTGCGGAACATGATTCCTATACCAAGTACTTTTGACAGTTCGGCAGGGTCCTGAAGCTGGACGTGTTTCCGCAACGTTGACCAAAACTGTGAATGATTTTTCTTTGGCCCGCTCAATGTTAAGTCATCAACATAAACACTGAGAGCAAGGTTCAAAGCAGGAAAATGAAAGCAACTTGGCTGTTCTTCCAATTCATAGCCACCAAGATGAGTTGATAAAATGTTCGAAAGGTGATTCTGCCATGATGCTGACGCCAAAGGATGACCATGCAGCGTCGGACGAGTGGTGCCACAGGCTGATACATGTGGCGAGCATAGTCAGGCACGAGCTCTGCTGGAAGCAAAACATACGTGGGGCATGATGAGTCAAGAAAGCTCTGAACATAGGCTTTGATGCAGTCTGAGGTTGAACATGTATGTCCATCCAAAAGTCCAAAAGCAATCACGAGGTTAAGCCCTCCAAGACTTGTCGGTGCAGACGCAGCCAGCTCATCAAACACGGCTGCTTGATTTTCTTCATCCCGCACTGCGTCTCCTCTGAAGACAATGCGAGCCTTGATTGACCATTCTGCAGGCGACTTCTCATACCCTTTTATACTAACTACTATATCCATCAAGGCTCCAACATGGATCTTCTGACCCTTGGCACGAGCTTCGGCAAGAACTTCAGCTTTTGGTCTGTTTTTTGACTCATCCCATGTGCCGTTGGCGAGAAGTCCGTGCTTCTCTGAATTGATGGCTTCAAGGACCTCAGGTCGATCCTTCCACTCGCTGCGATCAAGAAGGCGATGAACATAAGCAGGTGTTACAAGTTCTTTACAACCACATTTGACATTGCAATATCAAGAGGAACTGAAGGATACCCCGCAACTCTGTGAGGCTGTTGAACCCTTGTAACACATGGCATGGACCACACGTGCTGATTGATGATGTGAGGAAATAGTGATTGAATCAAAATGTTGCAAAGTGGCTCTGGGTAGAAAGCTGAAAGTCTAGTCCATTTCCCTTGCAGTGGAGCATGAGTGCTGTGAGTGCACTTGAGGCTAGCTAGGTTCTTGGCCAAACGCATCGAAGATGTCAAACATCTCCATGGCTTCTTAGCAGGCTGACCATCGGCTTGAACTCCAACAGTGCATCCGTTGAACGTGGCACAATGCAAGTTCCTGTCCAAAATCCATGATTGAATTGATGGTAGTGCCCAGCCTGCGCAGTAGCGTGGCCATTCGAAGCTGCAGTCCCCTCCATTGTCAAGACAGACGTTGGCTACACGCATAAATTGTTCTACCAAAGCAGCACTTTCAACTTGCTCTTGATCCATTCTTTTGGAAAGTCTCGGGTATTTTGCACGACTAAAGTGTTGCCATTGGCTCCACGGCTTGCATTCGATGGATCCATGGATGGAGCATCCTTTTAAAACATCTACCTGGGCGATAAGTTGCTC